TTGTTATCCAGTAAACAGCTGTTGGAGAACTTCAGCTGTGTCCCACTTATACAATAGGGTATACATGCCACAATATGCCATTTGCTATACTGTATCGCAGTTCATACAAATAAATCAGTTTAATTAAATTCAATTAAATTTTATTTATATAGCGCCAGATCACAACAACAGTTATCTCACAGACGCTTTTCATAAAAGAGCAGGTCTGACCGTACTCTATGATGTTATTTACAGAAGCCCAACAATTCCCCCAAGAGCAAGCACTAGGCGACAGAGGCAAGGAAACCTTCCTTTTAAGAGCCAGAAACCTCGAGCAGAACCATGGCTCAGGGTGGGCGGCCATCTGCCTCGACCGGTTGGGGTGGAAGGGGGAGAGAGAGAGAGAGAGGGCAAGAGAGGGATGGAAGGAGAGAGAGGGGAGGAGGCAGCTACACAAGGTAAAGACAGTAAAGGGATGATGTGGCTATAGACTAATGAAAAGGTATAGATATGTATAGTAGTGTTAATGATAACAATCGTAATGTTAATGGTTATAATAACAATAGGACTAGTAACAATAGTCGTTGTAGCAGTGGGTGTCGAGCAGGAACACGGGGCAGCAGGTGACTCGCAGCCACAATCCAGACTCCACAGCTCCAGAGCCAGAAACACCTGCAGGAAGTGATAGGAGAGAGAGGAGAGGGACGAGAAAGCACAAGACTACCGAAAGGGGAGAAGTTGTGTTAGTAACATGCAGTAATGGGATGAGGTTGCATACAGAGGGAGAGAAAGTAGAGGAGAGAGGACTCAGTGCTCATAGAAATCCCCCGGCAGTCTAGGCCTATAGCAGCATAACTAAGGGATGGTTCAGGACTCACCTGAGCCCACTGAGTCCACATTTAATTTTCCTATTAGTTTGCACTATTGCTCGTGTGGTTTTAATTTTTATGAGGTTTTCTGTTTACCTTTGATTTAAATAATTTCGATGGAGGGGGACAGACACCGCCACTATGAGGTTTTCACTAAGTAACTCCTGGAATGGAGGAGCAGAGAAGTGTGTTAGACTGCGACTCTGCCTCTTAGTCTCAACTCTGGGTTGTCATGGATTTGGTCCACTTATAAACTTTTTTTCTAGAAATGAGGTAGCTGCTCCTTCCCAAGTGGGATGGATGCCGTCTCTCTGAATCAGACCAGGCCTTCCCCAGAAAGTCTGCCAATGATCTACAAAGCCCACATCGTTTGCTGGACACCACCTCGACAACCAGCGGCGGAATGACGACATGCGCAATACATGTCATCACTGGTCAGATTTGGCAGGGGTCCAGAGAAAACTACAGTGTCCTGCATTGTTTTTGCATATGTACACACCAACTCAACATTAATCTTGTGACCTCCGATTGGCGTAACCGGAGTCATTACAGCCGACGTGAATACAATCTTACTGTATTTACGTTTATCCTTAGCCAGCAGTTTCAAATAAGACTCAATGTCGCCCGCTCTGACCCCAGGGATGCACTTAACTATGGCCGCTGCTTTGCTAACTTCACGTTTCTCAAAATGGAGCTGCCAATGATCAGAGTAGGTTTCTCAGCGAGTGTGTCGAGTGAATCGATGAAGGTGTGGTGTCATGTGCCCCGTGGGCTTTGAATGCTCACGACTATTCCTCCTTCGGACAGTCACCCAGCCACCCCTTCCTGGCTGCACAGGAGATGCCGGGGGACGGCTACCAGAGGCTAACTCAGGCCGTTCCGCACTGACTACCGGGACTGGCTAGCTACAGTAGCTAAAGACTGATCTACCAAGGTGCGGAGCCGGACTTCTAAATCACTGAGCCTCGCCTCCATGTCTATAATAAACGACACTTATTACACGTACCATTACAGCTAAAGGAGGCAGAGGAGTAACTGAACATCTGACACACCGAGCAGGAGAAAGTAGGAGAGGAGAGGGAGAGGGAGAAGCCATCACTAGCTGCTAAGCTAAAGTCGCTAACGGCTAAGCTAAAGTACTGTAGCGTCAGTTACCAAAACTTTTGAACAACTATGAGATTGAACAGCAGTCACTAAAAGAACTGTGAGTGCTTAAGTAAAATCTGTAAGAATAAGTGTTTAGCGGACAATTTACTTTACTGTTTTGTACTAACTTTGTAGAAACAGGCCTACTTTTTTTTGTTGTCAAAGATCTTCCTCAAGCTGTTTCACCACCGCTGGCAATGTGCTTCATGAACAGCAGCTCAAAAATCTTTCAATGTGCATACTGACTTTTTTGAGTATCTTTACACTAGAGCTGCAACAATTAATCGGTGACGTTGGATTAGTTGTCAACTATTAAATTAATAACTAACTAACTAACTATTTTGATAACCAATTAGACAAAGACAAATTCTCTGATTCCAGCTCCATAAATGTGTATTTTCTGGTTTCTTCCCTCCTGTGGACAAAACAATACATTTGAAGACATAATTTTGGTCTTTGGGAAACGCTGATCGGCATTATTTGACCATTTTCTGACATTTATAGACCAAACAACTAATCAGTTAATCAGAAAAAAATAATCAACTGATTAATCAACAATGACAATTATCGTCAGTTGCAGCCCTACTTTACCATCCCTGGTTTCTGGTTACATTTGCTGTTTTAGGTCCTTATTGAGACTGCCTGCTATTAAGCCAAGAAGACAGGCAGCCACTATCCTCCACTATAATCACGAGCAGCAGTTACAAAGAACAGTGTGAACAGTATTCCACCTCAACATAACTGATATTGATACATATGTATCTAGTTATCTTAAACTGATTTCTCTCTGAAAGGTTGCTGCATCAACTGGCCACACGGTGACGCTGGTGGACACAAGTGACGACATCCTTAAAAAGGCTGTCAAAGGAATTGAAGGGACCTTAAAAGATGGTCAAGAAAAGTTTGCTGATAAGCCAGAGTGACACAGTAGGACACCAGACCAAAGAAAACAGTGAATAAGAGTGAAATTAATGTGAGATATTGCTTTTTTGTTTCAGGCAGGTGAAGAGTTCATCCAGAAAGTCCTGCAGAATTTGTCAGTCTCAACAGATGCTGGATCTGTTGTTCAGGGCTCGGATCTTGTGTTGGAGGCCATTGTGGAAAATCTAAAAATCAAACAGGATCTCTTTGGTCGGCTTGACAAGCTGGCACCAGCGTAAGCAGCGTCCCATGTCTGTATCATTAATTTTATGTGTGTTTATAAGCAAGTGCAGCAAAAGTGTAGCAAGGGTTTTATGCCAACTAGAAGCAACATTTGATTGCTGTTTGTTCTGCCTGTCATGGTGCTGTGTGTGTGTGTGTGTGTTCCTACTTCAGTTGTAAGTATTTAAAAACAAGTTCAAATGGAAAGTTCTGAATAGCACATTATTATTGACAGCTGTCCATATATTGTGTTATATGCTGTCTATCTTTCTGCACTTGGTATTTTAGACACACCATCTTTGCCAGCAACACATCCTCTCTGCCCATCTCTGACATCGCCAGCTCCACCAACAGGCTGGACAGATTTGGCGGCCTTCACTTCTTTAACCCGGTCCCTGTGATGAAGCTTGTAGAGGTGGGTGAAAATCATATTGCATAACTCCATTTGAAGTAATGTCAAAATGCTTAAAAACAAATATATTTGCTTGTTTAAAATAATAAATAACAGTTCATTGATTTACCTGACATTGAACTACTAGTGGGATGGGGGGGGGGTTAAAGAGATTTATAATATGCTTATTTGACAGTGGAATGAATGATACCACTCTTATGTCTGTATGGTAAATACAAAGCTACCCAAATCAGCCATTTGGCTTAGCTTAGCACAAAGACTGGAAACGGGGAAACAGCTATCTAATAATAACAAATTCTGCCTTGCAGCACCTCCTTCATTGACACATTATATGTTATCTTATATCTTTTTGTTATAGATTAAACAAATGAGATGCAACATGTTTATTATGAGTTGTTGGTAGGGGGTTTGGTAAGCTTGGACCATAGACTGTATATAAGAAGTGGACGTAGTCATTGTGACGTCACCCGTTGGTTTGTGGACTGCCATTTGAAGCCTCGAGTTTGGCAGATAGGGCACCAGACATGACCGTGTTTGCACGTGATGGTGGAGCTAATGGCCGTGTGTTGAGCTAGCCAGCTTGCTTAGCTAGGTGCATCTGTAATTCACGTTAACTGTCATTTTAACAGGGCTGACAATTTTAAGCTTTTTCAAATTTACACAGTGCTGTGTGTACAAGTTACTCTAGCCTGATTGACAGGTTGCCATGGTAACAACTTGTCAATGACAGATAATCCCTGCTTTATGGTCTATTTTCCTCTAAATTGGACCATAATTTACTAAATGAACATCATTTTGTATTGAAGAAGACATGAAACTAGCGATTGAGACCATAAACTCATTAGGAAAGTGTTTACTGAGGTAATAAATCCGGTGAGAAGTAGGGTCATTTTACCATTATTTCTAATGGAATCGGACTTCTTTTTGCAACCATAAGAGTCGCCC